CCAAACTGCACCCATAATTTTGATTAAATTTTGACCCCAGGTAGGGTATAGAATGCTTGAATGAATGATGCAGGTCTCGCATTCATTGAAGATTCTTATTATTAAAAATTGCAAAAATTGAAAATTATCTCAGCGTCTTCCTACAACTTCAATTATGAAGATTTTTTTTTTTTTTCCTTAATGAAATGTGTTCATCAAAAATAGATCTTCAAATAATGTCGTGTTCAATTTTGCGAAATTTTGTGTAAAACATGGGCAATATTTATTTTCTTTATAGTCATAGTCATAGTTGACATTCACTTTCTGAAATACAAGTAAATTCTTCTTCCTCAATTGGCTATGAATTTACATCTCGCTTGTTCCTCTGAAATTTCATAATTGTTTCATAGATTTTTCAATTAAGGAGATGAATTTTCAATTAGTTCACAATAATTCTTATAACCTATAATATTAGCATTACAACAGGTATCTAAATCACAAGAGACTTGTTTCTAATGCTGACTTAATTGAAGTGTCAACTTTGCCTGCCCTTATCTCTATTGTTTTTCCTAAGCTTACAGAGTCTGCATTAATTTTCTTAAATGCCAGTCTGTCTTCACTTTCATCAATTTCTTTAAATTATTTGGGTTTGGTGTTTTTCTTTTGGAAACACCATGTCCACTTTCGTAACTAACATGTTTTGCCCTGTGCAGGGCACAACTCTTTGTTAAATTCATGATAATTTCCAAGAAAATAATAGCTTGACTTTGGTTCTTGTTTTTAAGAATTTTTCGTTTTGTGATTTGATTAATATTTAGTTCTTTAACTGTGATGTCCTTAAATCATAATTCTAGGATTTATTTATTTTACAAGTTTAAATTAATTTTTGTAATGTCTGCAATCAGCATTTCTGCTCAGAAATTTATATTTTAAGTTCTCATATCTACTTCAAAAGACATATCATTTGTTGTGACTCCTTAATTATATTGTCTTACCATAAGGTTAATTTTTCTTGAAGTGAATATACTTAAGAATTTGTATCTTCGTGTTCACTGCAGGTGTAAGAAAGGGATCTCACAGAAAGTACATTCTCAAAATTAATTGGAGAACAGTCTCTGTTGTAGTTTTTTCCTCATCTTTCAATTGAAAGTTTATTGTTTTTAGCTTTGTTACTGAATATTGACAGCAAGATAAGATTAAGATATATCATTTTCTTTATTCTAGCTCTTTATTTCATTTATCTATTTCTGAAGCAGTAAATAAAGCAACTTTTAAAAATTGAAAATTATTGTAAATGTCACTGCTCTTCTCATCTAGAGGTTGAGGTCATGGTTTATTGAGTTAACAGCATGTTGGTTTCTGGTGTCCATCTTGCTTAGGTTAAGTCGTCAATAATGTAGATAGATATTTTACTTGTATATTCAGTTATTGTGAAGTTTCTTCAATTAGTTGAAAACATGCAGCATTTCTTGTAGATTCTTGTGTATGTTTTTTCTTGATTAGAGTAAGCAATGATGTCTGTAAAGAAAAGAAAGAGGACAGGTCCTGAACCTGTTATAATCTCCAACTTAACCTACCTCTCTGTGTTTCAGTCTTCTCTATAACACATACATCTAAACTCTCGTCTCCAAGTTTTTTGTATTAGCTCTTGTTATAAAATATTTTGGTTTTGCATAAATCTCACTTGTGTTCACATTAATAATGATCATCACATATATTACTTATGTCAAAGATGACTGCCAATCCATTTTTCCATGTTGCCAATTTCTTGCCCAAGGCATACATCATGTTCATTTTATATAATTAGTTTTGAAACTGGGCCAAAAACATTCTGTTCTCTTTTAATAGAACAGTAAATTCCTGACACCTGAATGCGACACCAGAAATTCCCAAGCTAAGAGGTATAAAATTTTGTTAGCATTAGATGTTAGTAAAGGTTTATGCCCATTCTATATTATCATTTCATTTGAACAATTCATGTTCTTACTTAAGGCCTAAAAAAATACTTGTTCTTCAAACCTGCATTATTTTATTTTGCTAGTCATTTGACCGAACACCTTCACCTATTGTAATATCATATGACAATTACTGTGCAAATAATGAATTTACTTCTAATCCTGTAAGATTTCATGATGAAAAATAAAATTTCTTGAGAGTCGTTGGCCTGAATTTCAAACATAATATTCTGTGCTTTGTTATTCAGGATTGTTAGATTTCTAAGAGCCATTTTTTGTTTTCAAGACAGGCAAAATG